CTGAGATATGGTAATACCATAATTGTTATAGTTCTTGAATATCCCATGTTTATACAAAGTTGTTTATATCAATTTTTATTTATTTATTTATTTACTTTTTTATTTTTTGACAGGGACCAGAATGGTACAGTACCTGGCTTTCAATGCGAGGAGATGTTCCAGTCTTCACTCACCTTACATTGCTGCCTTTCACAGATATTGGGGGAACACTTAGTATCAATTTACGCATGGATGAAATCCTTATGGTAAGCACTAAAATCTTTGGTGATCTTGTTGATAACACTTTGTTAACCCATTAGCACAGGTATGTTTTGAACCCTTGTTGGGCACAGCTAAAAGATGCTGAATCTTGTCTTCAATAACATTTGTTACACTGGCGGGATGCCCGGCAATGTTTATTTTTTCAGGTGCCTCATATGTGGGACACCCGTCGTTACTGGGTTAAAGATACCTTAATAGGATGTCTTCAATATTGTCCCCTATGAGCTGAATGATGTAACCATCATGTCATGAAAGAATTTGGTTAGAGGGGTGATTGACATGAACATCCTATCCTAGGAAATTTGGCTGAGGGCCAGGATGGTGTGAAGTTGACATGAGTATTTCGTCAGAGGGCCAGGGTGATAGGAAAGACTCGCCATTACTTCACAAATATCTGCGAGGGTGATTAGACTCATTTGGCTCTTAGGAAGGGGCTATTGTGATTTAGTGAAATGTAATGTCCATAAGCCATGATTGAAAGAGTGCCAGCTCCAGGGAAGATGGTATTTGCATGCTCAGGATCCTAATAGTAGCTGCAATGACTGATGGCAAAAGTTGTATTACAGAAAATTAGATATTAAAAAAAAAAAAAAAATCTGACTGTTATTATTCTTGCACTGAGTTGTGGCCTACTGAGAGAGATGATATTGCATCTGTGCAAGGAAAACAGTTTATTACCATCTGGATTAAGGAAATCAAATGACAAATATGGACATTGGAAAATGGTAAAAAAGGTAAAAGTACTTATACATAAAAAGAGAAAATAACATTACAAAGGGGAGGCATAGTTTTGTCACTGCACATTAGTGTTCTTGTGCCCAGCCTACAAGCCACACACCCATTAGAGCGGCTGGTCACATAAACCAAATGCTCGCATTTTGGGTCATGTGAAGTTTAATGTTCTCATATCTGAGAACAATCTAAGAACTTTGGTTCGATATGTAAACCTTAAATCCTCTGTCTCATTTTGCCCTTCATTATTTGATGATAAAGATGAAAATAACAATATTAGTAATGAAAAAGACAAAAACGAAAATCATATTTAAAAGGAGAGTAGGATTAGAAAAGCCATTCAGTTTATCTTCATTGATTTGAGCCGTCTGCCCAATATAGCTAAAGTAAGTTTTCTCTCTTTTACTGAAAAGTGTGAGTGATGTTTATGAGAGAGGCTGGCCTTTGTGCAGGTGAAAGAAAGGAGTCTTGGCTTGAGGGTTTATTGCTGAAGCTAGATGTAAGACCACAAGGGATCCCCTTTCTCCCTGGGTGCCAAGGGCGGAGAGAACTAGATCTCACATGTTGTCATCTGTCTGCCGTCTCTCTCTATCTCTCTCTGACTAGATGTGCCGTTTTATGCAGTGGCTCCCCTTGTTTCTACCCACTGGAGTGTCAGATTTATTCGGTTCGTGATTTCACAGGGACTGCTGTTTACAATTCTTAGGAATTCTTACTTTTTCCAGCTTTTGTATTGAGCACAATTTTCCATCAATCTTTTTTTCCCCCCCTTTCCGAGGCAGGTTGAGTTTCGCCCATGTTTCCCTATTTTATGGTCACTTTGTACTCCTTTCTCCCTTTGTTTCTCTACTTGTCTGCCTCTTCTACTCCTCCTCTCTTGTGATATGGTAGTTTGGATTTATTAGCTCTATATCTCTCCCTCCTGTTTGTTTTTCTACTGCTTTTGTCCAGGAGCAGTAGAACGTGCTCTCTCACTGTTGCAGGGAGGGGAAGAGAACAAAATACAGGGCTATGTGACCTTGTTTGGGGAGAGGGAGGGAAGGAATGTTGCTCCTCTTACTGGATGTGGCTGGAGGAAACGAGTAGACAATGCCAGATTTTTTAGTGGACACTATATATGTCTTTTTTATAATGAACTGTAAGGAAATGATCCACCATTTTATATTAAAAGGATGGTATCATTGTGCTTTTTGGAGAAGGGAAACATATGAGAAAGATTCCAAAATGGATAATGTGTAGTATCAAACCATTCTTTATATACTTCATATCTTGATGATTATTCATCATATTTGTACATGCTTTACAGTATATCCTTGTCATTGTGAACCTTTTTGAATATGTAGAATTTTAAAGCTTATGCAAGAGGTTTTTAGGCTAATGTAATTCTGTAGCTGCAAGACTTCTGAATGATTAGGTTCTAAAAAAAAATAAAAAAATCTAAACCCATAGCTAAACAAAAAATTACTCAATTAATTATGCTTGGTCTATTGGGGTTAAAGGGAAAAACAGGTTAACTTGTTAGAGACACTGAATGCCACTGATTTAATTTGAATGTATTTTTTTTTTTCCCCCCCTATTGATACGAGGTTCATGCTAGCAATGATTGATTTGATCATCTATCATCTAAATAAGTTTCAAAGGTCTTACAATTTTACCAGAATGATCATTTGTGCCTCCATCAGCAACATTTGAATGCAGTTGTCACTTCACTCTTTCTTCATCTCTCTCTCAGAATGCAACAAGCCAGCTGATAACGGTAGTAGGGTGCATTCGAAAAGCTCGCCCTCCAGAGGTCAAGGACGACTTGCTGGTTTGTGATGACGAGCAACTCACACTCAACATCACCTCTTTCTCAGCAAGCACTGTCACGGACTTCATTCTGATTCCATTCCCAGAGCCTGACACTTGGTTCCTTGCCCTCCAGACAATCTGCTATTACAAAGGGTAGGCTGATCTTTTATGAGAGAATCATCTGAATTTCTAATGTTCTCTTGTTTTTTCTTCTCCTTTTGAGTCTGTGATTCTACAGCATTCTATGATAATCAGTGTTATTCTTTTTCATACAAGCAGATATTGAATTTTAGTGGAAGTATCAATCAGTTTTCTTAGGTCAGGGAAATTAATTGTCTCTATATCTTAAAGCATTCTATGTATGTGTCAATAGTTTGTACAAGAGTTAAATTTGGCTGTCTATTATTATTATTATTATTATTTTTTTTTTTTTCAAACAGGGTTAAAGCTCCATGCAAGATAAATCAAGTCATGGTTAGTGTTGACATCCGAACTCAGCCTTGCGTCTTCACTGGGGAGCAACCCTGTGGTGGTCATGGTTTGTGCCAGGAAACACATCGTGGCATGTTTTTCTTCACCAGTTGTGTGAGTTGCTTGTTGTATTTTTTAAAACTCCTCTTCTCTTTCCTTCTACTCCTCTCCTCCTCCTCCATATCCTCTTCCTCTTCCTGCTCCATACCCTCTTTCTCTTCCTCCTCCATATCCTCTTCCTCTTCCTCCTCCATATCCTCTTCATCTCCTCTCCTCCCTCTTGCTCCTCCTCCTCCTCTTCTCCTCCTCCTCTTCCTCCTCCTCTCCTCCTCTCCTCCTCCCCTCCTCTCCTCCTCCTCCTCCTCCTCCTCCTCCTCCTCCTCCTCCTCCTCCTCCTCCTCCTACCTTTTGAGTTCATACAAGATAATGCTACTACCATAGCAATGTGGACTGTATGTAAAAGGTATACCAAACCATTATTGTGTGGTTTGGAACATTAGTGGTTAACATTCTAAAATAAGGTTTGAAGATTGATAATCATGTCTTGATATTTTGTTACAGATTTGTACAGCTGGCTGGGAGGGATGGGGTTGTGAGGATGGAGCAGCCTACCAGGGTTGGAATGCATTCCTAACAGGACTTTGCTTATTGACTGTTAGCAATGTTTTCTTTATACCACCCACAATAATTGCCATACGCCGCCGCCTCTATGCCCAGGCTCTCCTGTTCACTGCAACCATGATTGCATCCATATTTTATCATGCTTGTGATAATGAGGTAAGAACTCTCTTATTATTATCTTAAGGTATACAATGTATTAGTGATTAAGAGAATGACAGAATGGCAAAGATACTACGTTTCCTCAGTTTATTATGCAACTTGTGCTTATCTCAAAATAGATTGGTACAAGGCTGTTACTGAAAAAAATACTACCTTGATAAAATTTTCCTTTTTTATGTCTAAAACATCACCTCTTTTTTCATTCATGTTTCAGGTGCTGTCATATTGTTTGACCAAATATGAGGTGCTGCAGTTCACAGACTTCTTCTTCTCACTACTTTGCTTTTGGGTGACAATTGTCAACTTAGCTGGGATGGATGAAACATTATGTCCCTTTTTACACACTCTTGGAGTTGTTATTATTGCTCCTGCCGTCCAGTATAGCAGAACAGCCTTAGCATCCTTTACATTTCCTATGGCTGTTGCAACTGCTATTCCAGTGAGTACCAAGTGTGTTATTTACTTTTCCAGGATGATTAGCTGTTGTGTTTTGGTGAATGTAGTCATACTAGGGATCACTTATGTCACATCAGTAATTTTTTCCAAAGACTAAAGCAGAATAGGTAGTCCAAAAACATATATTTTCTCTTACTTTTTCCCTTTTATTCCAGATCTGCCGCATTCTTTACCGGCGGTGGCACAAGGGATCTTGGCCTTCAGTCCAGCCTCGTCAGATACTCTACCGTGGGACTGGCGTGGGTCTTGCCCTCGTTGGCCTTATGATGTTTGCTCTTATACAGACCAAGGATAACTACAAAGTAGGTATTGTGTTATGGCAGTGCATTTAGATTGAAATGGAATGTTGGGTTATATGTCATTAAAAACACTTGTTTGCCCCATTTTTTGAATTTTGGAGAGAAAAAAATAATCATTATTATCTTATAATTAGTAATCCATATAATCTCCTGGAATTATTTAGCCACAGTCAAAACTGAAAGTTGAAATTCTCCTGCACTACATGTACATTTAGGTGAGGATGTTCTCTTAGCCAGATCAGATTTAACCCACAAATGACGGAGTCCATATCACCCAAAAAAAAAAAAAAAAACATTGCCGGGTGTCCCGCCAGTGTGACGCTGTATCGGGGCTCACACTCTGATGCAGCAGTGGGCCGCGGCCAGTGCACGGGCAGAGTCTGGGGCAGCCCCGCCCGCCAATTTTGTAGCCGCCGGAAATCTTTTATTTTGGCTTCAAAATATACCGACGGTAATGGGTTAAGGGGGCCATCGCACTCAAGAACGAAATTTGTTAATTATGATTAGATTTTCGCAATTTTTGATTTTATATATATACATGTACACCACTAAGTTTCATATCATTTGGATAGTAAACAGTGAAGCTATTTAAGAAAAAACAATGTTTTGAAAAATCTCAGACCATTTACTGTATGCATCTACAACAATCAAAACACTCATAGTCATAGTCAATATGTAACCTCTGCTAAGCTGTACCAGCATAATCCCATGAGTGTGACTTTATTGGCATAGAATTTTTTTGTTGTAAAGCACATCCTTCACATATCTTTATGTATGGTTCAATATCACTCTCAGTGTTAGGCAGCTTACAAAAGTACAGGCTATGAACTTTGTCATTATAATTCCCTTGTGGTCTGCATGCAATTCTTCTAGTACCTGCTTACAGAGTTTAGTTGGCACTACTACCCTTGCTCCTTTTAGAAAGCAACCTTTCTTTACCGATAATTCACCCCAGGCATCTATAAAAGCTTTAGACTCAGTCTGTGACTCTTGTGTGTCCTTAGCAGTTTTCAGACCTTGCAATACCTTTGAAAGTAATGGATCTTTCCTTGTGTAGCATGCAATCTGTTGTGGTGTAATGGGTAGTTGATGAGCATCTATTAGCATAACAAGCTACTTCTTAAACATCTGGTGCCCTATCCACTGGCAAACAAGACAGTGCATCTGCATTCCCCATGTCTGTGGTAGACCTATGTTCCAGGACGTAATTGTATGCAGCAAGTACTACTGACCATCTTTGTAACTTAACAGCCAGTAACTTTGGTAATCCTTAGGTACTCAAGTGAAGAATCTTGGAAAAGACTTTTAACTTTTTGAATCTTCATCCCATTTTCCTTGATCCAGTTTATCACTGCTAGTGACCTATCTTGGTGCTCCTTCTCATTCTTACCAGCAACCAATGTCATCTACAAAGCAATTTTTTTTTTTTTTTTTTTTTTTTTTTTTTTTTTTTTTTACTTGTACCTGTAGAATAGTCATTGTAAAAAGATAAAAAATCATAATCTCCTGCAAGTATATAAGTTGAAACTAAGCCCATTATCTCTCATTGCAGTATGTACACAGCGCCTGGCACGTCATCATCGCAATCTCTCTTGTCTTCCTGCTTCCGTCCCAAAACTCGCCTGACTCGGGCCACAAAGTTCCATACCCAACGGTACAGTTTTCAGCCTCCTCCATGGTCAGTGATGACGCTGAGCTGATTGACGTTGGCTCAGCGACGGTAGATTATACTACATCCTCTCCAGTCTTCCAAGTCGCTTCAGATGTCGATTTCCTCCTGGCAGATAACAGCGAGGGAACGCAATGATTGGGCAGGCACTTGCTCGGGTTCAGGTGTGACGTGGTGTTAGATGGTAGCACAGGTTTGATGTTTGGAAGAACTTGTGAGATTTTCTAATGAGTTGTGCTGCATAGAAGTAGAAAATGGGAAATTATTTTCTGGATATTGTTTTCCCTTTTTTATATATATTTTACAGCTCTTTTTAGTTCTTCCCCAACTTCCCTGTGGAATGTGTATTGTGATAATCAACTTTACTCTTTATTTACCTGATATCAAAGTGTTCATTTCCCATAATTTCATAATCATTAGCATTTAATCTCATTCCTGAAGCATCATCATCTTAATCCCATTGCTCTCTATCCTTTTGGAATATTTCTCAAAGTGGAAACATAATATAATCCCAAAACAATAGCAAAGTTCGGAGCTTTATGTGCATACATGATAGGAAAACTTTGTTATTTTGTGGGATTTGATATTTCAACTCAGATTGTTCTGACTGGATTTTATGCTAAGAAGATTCTTAACACTACTTTTTATTTTTTTTTATGTATTATTATTTTTTCATGCTTTTGCCACATTCCCTCCAGTGTGCACACTGAGGATGACAATGGCCAAGTTCCATCCTTAACCCAATGAATCTGGAGGCTTCACCACTATTTCATGGCCCAAAATATGGGTATTAGCTTACTTGGGTGGCTACTCTGCCGGGTGTGTAATTTGTAGACTGGGTGCGCATGAACACTCTTGTGCGGTGATAAGACTCCATACCTCCCCTTTGTAATATTGTTTTCTCTTTTTCTTCATAATCATTTTTATTTTTTTGTTGTTGCCATTTTTCAATGTGTATATTTGTCATTTGATGATTTGCTTTATTCAGATGGTAAAAGACAGACTTCATATCACCTCTCTTAGTAGTCCATTTTGTTATTTGTGTTATTTAAGTTTTTTTCATAAAATTCAATTTCCTGTAGTGCGACCTGCGCTGCTGGTCATCGCAGGCAATAGAATCCTGAGCAGGGAAATACATTCTCCCTAGAGCCGGTGCTCGTCTAGTCATGGCTCAAGGATGTTACATTCCACACTAGTTTAATGAAGGAAATAATGTAAAAGCCCCTTCCTAAATGCCCAATGAGTAATCACCCCCACAGAGCTTTGTGCACTCGCAGCAAGTCATTCCCCGTCGCAGTAGCCTTCAGCTGAAATTCTCATGACATGTTCACTTCACACAGCCCTCAGCTAAATTTTTTCATGACATGATGGCCATGTCATCCAGATTGTAGGGGTTAAGAGATAAGAGCTGATGAAAGAGTAAAAGGCAAAACCTCAGCCAGTCTCATTACTCTTGGTAGAGCTTCAAAAAGTTTTCTTCCTTGCCCTAACTGAATTTTATTGGCCAAAGATGCCCTTTATTCATAATTTTGAATGTTGTTGATTAGCTGTTAACTTTTTTTTTTATGTTGCTAAACCTCATCTGGGTGAATCTCCGTGAGACAGCCAGAAACGTGAAACAGTATCATCTTTCCCAGGAAAATATTTATTGTTTGTCATATTGTCCCCTTTGTTGGTTCATATTTAGTTCTTCTATCTCTTTATAAATTCCTTATTTGTATATATTTGTTTTATATTTTGAAAGCTGTGTTATTTTTCACATCTACACTCACACTCACTCACACTCACTGTGTGTGTGTGTGTGTGTGTGTGTGTGTGTGTGTGTGTGTGTGTGTGTGTGTGTGTGTGTGTGTGTGTGTGTGTGTGTGTGTGTGTGTGCACGTGTGTGTGTGTGTGTGTGCACGTGTGTGTGTGTGTGTGTGCATTTTTCACATAATGTTTACTATTATTTTTGCACTAATTTTTGAAGCTTAGTCATTTGAACAGGAAAACCAGACCAAAGTCTCAGGTATAAATGAATAAAATAGTGTTTTGCACATCAAGCAGGAAATCAGTGTTGCATTCGTGAAGATGGAAAGCCTGAACAAGAGAAATCATTAAGTGTATATTGAGAATTATGCACAAATATATGTATATATGTATATACACACATACATACTTACACATATACATATTTACATACATACTTACACATACATACACACATATACATAATTACACGTATACATACATATATATGTATATATATATATATATATATATATATATATATATATATATATATATATATATATATATATATATATATATATATATATATATATATATATATATATATATATATATATATATAAATATATATATATATATATATATATAAAATATATATAAATATATATATATATATATATATATATATATATATATATATATATATATATATATATATATATACATATATATATATATATATATATATATATATATATATATATATATATATATATATAATATATATAATATATATATATATATATATATATATATATATATATATATATATATATAATATATATATATATATATATATATATATATATATATATATATATATATATATATATATATATATATATATATATATATATATACTTACACATATACATACACATACGCACATGCACACTCACACGCACCCCCTCCCCCCCACACACACACAGAATTATACATATATATAAGGAGGAATGTACAACTCATACAATTTGGGAAGTAGATAGTAGAGTTTAGAGATCTGATGGCATGACTGAGTCTTGATTTCCCAGCCAATCTCACCATAACATATTAAGCAAATAGCATAAAATCAAGGCTTTATGTACACTTTTCATGGTACAGTACTTGCTGACAGCACCTTGATCGTCAGCGGACAGTGGGAGCTTGACTGACCTTTCTCGGCCCACATCATAGATAGCAGCTCAACCAGAGACACCTGATTGTCCTCTAGCATGCGGCCTTACATTCAACTGCGCAAGTATATGCAAGCCTAAGATGCTTTTGAGTTGAAGAGTATTTTAATGGCGAGCTTTCCCCAGTGTTGATAGTTCACCAAGTCATACTCTTACTTGACTAATAGCAAATGAAAGCTGTTTGTTTTGAATGGCTTTACTTGAAGCCAATCAAATAAAAAGAGTGTATGTAAACAAAAAGAGAAAAGAACACTTGCAACTCTTAATCTTTCAAAAGCATGAGGTAATAATTCTTGGTGAATGCAAATTGTGCTGTCTGATTTTGGTACTATTGAATGTAAAGGAAAATATGAATCAGTTTGCGAATATTTTGCACTAATTCATGAGAAGAAATTTCAGAGTAAAATAACTTCTTGTGTTTTGGGAAGCATCATGATTACTTTAATTGCAAGAACTGTACTCGTGAAAAGTGTAAATTTGCTGTATATACATATATCGAGAGAGACATGCTTTTGGTATCATAATAATGATGACATACATACAGGAAAGAATGAGCTACTGTGAATTAGCTGTTTGTGTCACAACAACATTTTCTCATGTGATACGATCTCTTCTAGTAGAAGTATCAACCTAAGTTTTGGTCATAAAATTTGCATAGAATCTGATATTTAATAAGTGCTTGCTCTCTAATTTGTGTTTAAAGCACTGTAAAATGGAGTGCATTGATAAGTACAAGGAACTTGTAAATTTATTCAATTTCCCATTGTGACTGAATTTCAAGTGATGCATTGATTTTTGGAACAGGTATTCTGATATCAATGATTTTCATTATCAGTTCTATCTGTTCTGGGCTATCTACCAGATATTGCTGAAAATTTATATCTGCAAACTAACCAAAGGACTGCAATCAACCAAATATGATAAATGTATTTCCTTTGTCAATCATTCTTTTAACATAAAATAATTTGCGATTTTTAAGGGTAAATATCAACCCTCAAAACTCTGTTCGTGGATGAACAAGGGAAACGTACAAAACGCTATCTTTAAGGGTCTGTTCCAGATCCGTAAATACCAGAAGTGTTCTCTGTGTGCAAAGAAAACAAGGAAGAAGAAAGTAAACTAGTTTTGGAAATCAACTTCTTATTTTCAAGGAAAAGCCACTTTTAACAGTGGACGTATCAATATAGACATGTATTTTTTCTTCTCTAAGAAAGATGCTTTAGGAAGTAGCACAGATGAATTTGATACAAGTTTTCTTGATAATGTAGGTAAATATGACCATAATAGCCACCTGTACAATGTGTTTGTTTTGCCAAACACTTTGCTAGGCCATAGTATTTCCCATCTGTTATACACTCCTGTATAGACACTACACCACTCAACACATGTACTATAAGAATATTGACTCTGGATATTCAATTCTGATCCCCTGAACTTGAAGTTATTGTGAACTTCCAATTGATGAGTTTTGGAAATATTTACTCCTTAATGGTAGGCAAATAGTATTGCTGTATCCATTTTTGAACATTCTTTTCTTGTTTGGTTCACAAACACACGGGTAAGATGAGTCATACTAGATCAGTTGAAACTCTGACATTTATTCAGATAACTCCCTTTTTATTCAGTATGAATAACCAAGTCTATAAACAGGATACTGCCTTGTCTGTCACAAATGTTAGTAATAGAAAATAGGTGAATAGTTTATCCTTTTGAATCATTGAAATTGCATGTACAGAAAAAGTAGAGTAGTCAGCTGGTAAGACTTCTTAAAGCTTATAATAAAGCCTGTCTAATTGTGCACTATGTGGAGTCATATTAGTATATATTGCAGTGACTAATTGACATAAATGCTATTACAACTTTTCACAATTATTAAAGGATGGATATTATTAGTGCTTCATTGTTGGTTATCAACATCATAGTGTAACTGAAATTGAGCACAGTTATGTACCTGCTTTATGTAAAGACAGACAAGATGATTTATAAATATATATATAAAGGGAGCGGGTTACTATGTTTAACTTGGTGCTAGATGTTTATTATTTAGCATTTCATAATGATACAAATGTGTAGCACAGTTTGTCATTCATATTGAACTTGAACCTGTTACTATCTATAATGTCCATCACAGTAGTCACTACCCATATATTCTTACTAGCTTCATGTGAGTGGTGAGGCTGGTAAAAAAATGCTTATCTAACCAGCATCTCACAGTTATATAAATTAAAAATATTACTTTAGATGGATTGCAAGGAAAGTATTTGCATTAACCATTTGAATTTAAAAATTATAGATAATAACCATTGTAAACAGTAATCAAACTGAATAGTTGTGCGTGGTTCAGGTATGGGAATTCATTGTAGACAGTTGATATTTACCAATCTATTTCTTATCGCAAATAACGTCATACAAAAGCATTTGAAGAGCAGTTTTATTGCTACAGATATTTTTGTTATTTGTCAGTCATATGAGTATTGAAGGCATGGAATATGTGTTTGTACACTTTGTACTTTGCTAGAAAGACTCAGAATTGGGATTAAAGGAAACTGATATGAGAAACTGAACTGATAAGTTTGTTTTCTCTTTTTAATTAAATTTGGGTCTTTTTCTTTCGTGTGTACATGGTGTTGGTATTAAGCATACAGATAATTTTCACTTGCAAGGATAGTTCACAAGATTAACAGATTATAGGAATATCTTTTTTTTGGAGGAGGGGGGGGATTGTCTGGTGGAAAATCATATTTATTGGTGCCTTTTTATGTATGGTGCACTAGTATCAGTAAGGGTGTAGTCACAGTGGAAATGTGTTCAGATCTGAATGATCAAGTATGATGTTTTCATATTTTCTGCTATTGTTTTGAAAAAGATTTTGATATGTAGACTTAGATGTGCTGTGTAAAAGAGATACGATTTTTTGTTGGAATAGTCCTTTTAGAAATGATAGGACAAGTTACAAGGAAGGATGACATACATTATCATATTCCATGTTCTTTTCAGTGAGGCTGAAGCAGCTATTTGTATATATGGCACAGTCATTCTACCTATTTGAGCTAATGTGTATGTATGTAATAAACTAGTTGTTAAGTCAGTTCAAATACAGGTACCAGATAGGAATAGAGAGGGGTAATTTTAATCATTGCCATATGAATTTTGCTGAATTATGGAAGATGTAGGAGTACCTTGTTAAAGTACATCCATGAAAAGGACAATTTAAAGAAGCAGCGAGAACATAACCACCTGTATGTCTCCAATTGCCTGATTTTCCACTAATGTCAGGCTTCTTTTTTCTGAGGCACGAAAATTTGATAACCAGTGTTTTTGCAGAAAAAAGAATATGAATGAGGATGAATATCTTCACAGATGATTTTAATTCTCATTTATACTTTTTCTACATTTGTCGCAATGAACACTGTTTACCCATGCTTTTCCTTTTACTGTTTTCATAGGGATGATTTGATATATTTTTATCTATTTAACAACTGACTCATTCTCTTTTTTATGTTTCTCTGTCTTGAGTTACTCTTTGTGCTTATAAGACCTAATGTTACTAGGCAGGCTAATATGCTGAAAGGCCTAAACTTTCAGGACTGTGCATAAACATGTGGGCAGCTGATGTTTTTGTGCCACACATGCTTCTGATATGTGGCTTTGATACAAATGTGTATGATAATAGAAGGCTATTTTTTGGCCCAAATTTCCACAAAGTCTGTATGACAGAAAGCCTATAGATTGTGATCAGGCAGCTAATCGAGGCATGTCATCTTGTTCCAGGCATGATTACCATTCTCAGCATGACGTGATAGGTATGCCATCTGGAAGTAAAGGATTAAGTAGCACTTCAGTGACCTGTGTAATGATTGTGTTTTCCTTAGGAAACTCTCATGAAAATACCATGAGCAGGAATTTAAGGTCATTAGATGTAACTGATTTTGTTTAAAAATAGTCATATAGTTGAAGTGCTAATTGTTGTGAAAAGGTTACTATACAGTATGCAGGAGATTGAAAAGGTTACTATACAGTATGCAGGAGGTTATGTCTGAAAATTATTATAGAGTGGTGACTGTATGAACGATCTGAAGAGGTAATTCTTGAAAAGTTGTGAATGCATTAGAATTCTAGTAGTACATTTCTTTTAAATTTGCCAAAGAAAGTATAATCTGTTTTCAGGGTGATCAAAATTCATTTAAATGTTTTGGTCACCTTTATAGGCTTGTATCCTGACTCACTGAATCTCATAATGGCTTCTGAAATGAAAGCATAACTATATTTAGATTAATTTTACTTTGAGAGATACGTCATATAAAAATGAATTGGAAAGAGTAATATTTCAAGTATTTTGATCCCTGTAGAATTCAGCAGTCCAATACAGCCAGATGTCTAAATGCTACCTGGTTATCTGAATTCTATTGTATCATGCTTTTTTGTATACCATAAGGACTTTTAGAAGAAGAAGAAGAAGAAGAAGAAGAAAAAGAAGTAGAATTAAATACCTTCTCTCATACGGGTTTGATCTTGAAGATGATAATGTTAGATCTTGCGGTGGAGAATGTAATGAGTTGGTCATAATTTTGTTATTATACAATATATAATGATAATTGTGAGAAAAGAAATAGTTCTTGTACCATATGACAATAGATTGCAATAGAAGGAATTAGATGAATATATGTGTATTTATACATATCAATACCGTAATTGATTATGATTCTATATATTTGAATTATAGGGTTTTTTAACCGTAAAGCTTATTAGAAAGTGAAAGTTTAAGGAAAAAAGTATATAAGATAAGAGAAATGTCTTATGATAAAGGTGACTGAGAATTTTTTCAGCTATGATAGCTCTTGTAAGAATAGGAATTGATAACTTTTGGATCTCGTGGCTGTCTGCAGTTTATCAGACAGTGTTTTTTGTAGGAATTTAAGTAGGTGTACACTATATTCTTGATATTAATTCCAAGAAAGGGAAGTAGTTCTAGTCACATTGTGTTCATGTGTATTACATGTTTATATGTCAACTCTTGGTATCAATGTTCTGATGTCAGAGGGCCAATAATACCACTTTTCTAATCTGGGAACCTCAGCGTAGCATGGGATATCAAATCTGATTTGGACGTACATATTGTCTTATGTTTGTATGTGAGCTTGCCATATGTATAACTTTTTGGGTATTTTATACTTAGATTTGCTTGTATGTATCCATATCTTTTTGATTTGTGTAATATGAATTATTGTTTTTAAAGTGTCCCAATATCTCTCTCTCTCCCTCTCTCCTTCCTTCCTTCCTTCCTTTCCACCCAGCCTTTTTTCTCTTGTTTTCTTTTATTTTTTACTACTGTGTTGCTTATTTTAAAATGCCGATTAATATTTTTGCATTCATTTTCCTGGCGGAAAGTGTCTGTGTGTGCCTTGTTTTACCTCAGTTTCCTTACCTTACAGTCTTGCCAATTGGTTCAAATATATACATTCCTTTAGTTCATACCTTTTTTATAATTTATTTGCTGGTTTATTAAAAAATGATACATGTGTCTGTTTTTTTTATGTGTTTAGATTAAGAGTTGTCTGATATATTTGGTGTTATGTTC